GGGATCTTGGGCACGCTTGCACACGCGTCCGGCATAAGTTTACGCCACCGGGTCCGGGACTCAAACCGCGGTCAACTACGTGGGAGTCCAGCGACATAGCCATTACACTAACTGCTGATCCCAAGATCAGATTTTTTATTGAAAGATGACAACTATGACTGCAGTGTAGAGGAATGATATGGTACTGTGGATAAAAAGTAGTTTCTTACCGGGGAACTGTCTGGAAATATTAATAGGACCAACACAGCTTTGTGATTTCGCTGGATGTAAACACTTGTGGAAACTAGGAAGATGAGAATGACTCAGGCTGGTTTATTTATTTCTCCCATCAGAGAGAGATAGCTCCTCCCTGAGCTGAGTCTTCGTACGGCAGCCCACCCTAGCTCCAGCTGGCGGGGATCCATGCTCGCCTGTGCAGGGAGACCTGGGGATGCAGACCAGGGCTTTCCCACGTGGCTTCAGCCTCATGCGCGTCCCTCCACCGCGGCACCCGTTGCTGTGGCCGGTCTGGTCGTTGAACACGATTCAATCTGATGTCCCTTCAGCTCGCTACTGAAAGATGAATAATCCTCTCCTCGGCCGGCCTCCCTGGCACAGAGGTCACACACTCGGTGATACCAAAGCCACATGGGAAGGTCCAGGTCCATACCCCACATGCCTCTCTGTTCACACTGGATGAGCAGATGTGATCCTAGCTCGCCGGGGGGCGAGCACAAGGACTCCATTAGAGGTCGTCCCCTTTTGTTTCTCTCATTCTTATGTAAGAAATAAGCTTTTTTAAAAAGCTCATTGAAACCTGTTTCTTAGTCTGTTAAACAGATCCTGTAACTAGAGCTCTCAGTTGTTATAGCGACAATAAGGACATATATCTCACTGGAATCCAGACCTTTCCTCCTTTTTTTTAAGAATTATTTTAATCAACTTTTACAATTTATTTATCTATCATTTATTTTCATTTGACCAGAGAGGAACAGAATGAGAATGACAGAGAGAGAGAAGGAAAGTGAGAAAGCAAGCCACCAGGTCCAGGACTCAAACCATGGTCGGCCATGTGCGAGTCCAGCACCGTTAACCACCATGCCACCTGCCAGCCTCCAGACCTTTTCTTTTAATACCTGGGTCTGGATATCTAACATATTCTGTTTCTCAGCTTAACAGAACTACTTTTCTCCGAAATGCAGTTTCTCTAACACCTCGTTTGGGCATTAATATTTTAGTGTTTGAAGAAAAAATTAAGAGAATGAACAATGAACTCCTTACTTCTGGGAGGATATGTATACCTCAATGCATAGATACCCGTTTTATAGCTAAAGAAGTTTGTTTCAGCAAGTTTCTTTCTTCCTTTCTTGTCCGCTCCCTCTCATCCCCCTCCCACTCT